GTCTGGATCCAATTCTGACTATTTGTTTTAAGGTCTGAGATTCCTGAGATGTAGCTTCACCTAGGCCAAGAACATGGCACATGCAGTCTAGTTTGGGAGATTGGAACTTGACACTCTATCTGAGGATACTGCCTCTTACCTGCAACAAAAACAATGGGAAATCTGAAAATACTGCCCCTTTGTAAGCCCCATCTTGAAGGGATTGCTTAAAGGACAAGAGAGAAATACTGTGCATTTCACAGGTAATAATAAAACATCAGGTTACAAATGCCAAAGATTTTGCAGACTATTCAGTTTGTTTGTTTGCTTGCTTGCTTGCTTATTTATTTGCTGCAATTTTAAACTATCCAATACTTAAATTTTCTGGATGATACAGTACATGAAAAACATAAAATACAAATATTAAAACAAAAAGTAAAACAGCTCCAAATAAAATAAAAATAGCAGCAAAGAATAAAACAATCTCAGCACATAAAAACAAAACAAAACAAGATTCCAGCTGAATATCAGAAAAGCCTTCTGGACCATTAGAGCAATAAGACAATGGAATCAATTTCCTAGGGAGATCATGAGCTTTCCCAGCTGGAGGCATTCAGGAAGCATCTGCACAGCAATCTGCTAGAGATGCATTAACTTGGGAGTCCTGCATTGAGCAGGAAGTTGAACCCAATGGCCTTACTGGCTCTAAGTAGCAAAATAAGATGCTAAAAACCCTAAGAACAGTTCTGAAAATGCCTGGGAGAATGCCTGCTTAAATACTGAAGAACTTTCCATCTCAAGATGTATCTGAATTATTACCCCCTCCCCAGTCCAAGTAAAGCTGCCATCGGACATTGCCAAAACATAAGGGGAAGAGAGGCATTAGCAGCACTGAAGCTCCAACAATTGACTTATTTAATTAAATTCTTATTAAAGAAACATCGAATATACTTGAAATATCAATTTCCGCAGGATTAAGCATAGCATGAGATCCATAGTCCCTTGTGAAACAGATAATAATGAAACACTACATTGGTCGGACAATCTGAGGTATTCCAGTTCATTATTCCTTTCTTGCTTGAGACCCTGTGTATCATGTCTATTTAGTGATAGTAAATATTTATAAGCATAAATTGTAGGCTCATATAGTTTTTCTGCCTCAATCAATAACACAGGTGGTGCTGAAATTGTAAAACAAGCAAGATCAACGTTAAATTTTACCAAATGTTTCTGTTGCATGTATTGTCATGCAACCATAGTTGGCAATTTATATCTAGAGCAGGGGTCTCAAACTCGCGGCCCGCGGGCCAATTGCTGGGACGGGCGAGGCACGGGGGAGGGGCCCTGCGGCCTTCAAAGCGCCGGCAGCGCCCGGGCTGGCCTCCGGATGAGCGGCCCACCACCACCACCGCGGTGGTGGAATACTTGATGCGGCCCAGCCTCACCCAGACTCTACTTCCAGCGGCCCCCAGATAAATTGAGTTTGAGACCCCTGATCTAGAGTATAAAGCAGAGAAGGGCAAAAAAGGTACAAATCAGTCTGTCCATCCAGGTCCACCAAACATACATTTTCTTGCTGATTTTAAAATCCAGATTTCCCCATAATGGTAATTCTTCATGTGAAAATAGGTGAAACTGGAATTGATCTGAAGGTACACTCCAAGGTTTTGTAGTTGCCACAGCTGGAGAGGGTGGAGTATCTGTTTTGGTATGGCAAGAGTACACACAATCCACCTGGGAAGAGGATTGCAAAAAGGAAGATTCTAGAATGGACTAGTGAGAGGAATTTAAGTGGAAAGGACCAGAATTAAGTACAAGTCAACAGATAGGCCCAGTGATAAAAAAAGGTCAGAGGTCAAACGCACACTTTTTATTCTGAAGTTGTATCATTTTCAAGGATATTCATAGTGGAGTAGAGCCTCTTAAAATTTTATGAAACACCAATAAACTTTTGAAGATAATTGCTGGCTAGAAATAAAGATATAAAGGAATACCACACCAAGCATAAATAATTCACAGTATTACATTAGTTTTCAGTATATTTACCCTATCCCATAGACTTAACTTTATAGATACCTATCTGTTAATGTCCCTTGGGATCTCATTAATCAACTTATTTAAATTAATCATTTGTGGTATGTCTCTTGGGATAAGAACTCCCAGATAAGTAATAAATTCAGCAGTGCTAAATTGCCAATTAGGTAACAGAGTATGAGGTATATCATCTTCAGTATGAGTTCTGACTTTGGACAGTTAATCGAATAACCAAATAAGTATACAAAATCATTAGTCATTTGCATTAGTGCTGAAACTGATGACTGGAGTTCCAAAATAAACAGCAGTGGTAAATTTCCCTTTCCCATACTTCTTTTGGAAACCTTTCTGCTTTACATTTTTGAATTGGGGTTTTTTCATAGAATGATAGAATACTAGAGTTGAAAGTGGCCAGAAGGCCATTGGGTCTCACCTCCTGCTCAGTGCAGGATCCTGCGTCAAACCATTCCACCTTTTAATGAGGTTTATTTCCCATTCCTGGTGCTTGTGTTCCCAGTTTATCTCCTCCTGTGAAGGCAAATGTTGGGTTGCTGTTTCCCCACCACATACATGTATACATTGCGAGGATACTTCTCTTGCTCATTATGTGGGGACAGAATGTTGTACTTTTAGATTAGTGTCCAATTTTGACCACTAGTGGTCCCAAGCATTTCATTAAATGCAAAGGCAGCATTCCTTTTCCAAATTGGAAGGCATACTGAATATTATTGGATTAAGCAAAAGTTCAGCAATAAAGACAAAACACATTTATACCATGTTGTGGGCATCGATCATATTGTTGGTATATATGGTAAGCCATCAAAAAAAGCTTTCAACTGAAACAGTGTTCCCAATTTATTGAGCAGCAGTTGTTTAAAAGTTACAATTTTCAATACAAATACCTCTGAAAACTGCAGTATGTGGTTGTGTGGGCGAGCAGATACCAGACTAGGGATTGGGAATGCAGCTGTGTGCAAGGTTTACAATGCAATGCAGGACAAGCTGCCCTTGAGCAGAGAATGCTTTCCCTCCTGGTCGCAGCTGCGGCCAGTCTGGAACAGCAGAGAACTTTATAAAACTCCTATATTATATCTAGTTATACCTTTAAAAAGAAATGATATAACCTTGGCCATGAAACAGAGTTTGTAAACTAAGGCTTACCATCCAGGGGATTCTTGTACATCTATAGCACAATTCTGGGCATAAACAAAACAGTAAGTGAATATGATTCTGAGTGTGTCTTTTGTCTTTATTTTAACAATATGAAATTTCAGTTCCATCCCACCTTATGATATGGAGTATATAGTAAGATAGCAAAAAGGATAGGGTTTCAGGGCTATTTTAGTAGAACATTCATACAATATTACAAGGTAAAATATTTCTCTGAAGATGAAAGCTAAGGCAGGATTTCTATTCTCCAGCACTGTAAAAAGCTCCATAAGAGAACCTTTTCTAAAAATTGGTCCCATTTATAGACTCAGAATAGTTAGAACAGGCTTTTTTTCTTCCCCTCCATTTCTCTCTTCCATTTCATGCATGCTTATAGAGTTAAGTTTTGAAAAGCTTGAATAAGGTTGTGACTGAAAATAGTTACGGTGGGAAATCATGGCTTTGAAATTAACAGACAGAAAATATGAATAGGCTCAGTGTGGAAGTCCTGGTGAGTTTGGTGTGACTTTCTTCCAGTTAAGTAGGCATAAGATTTCAGCCCAAGGTCAACTCTGGGATGGGAAGAATGGAGGAAAGGGAAAGAGAGAATTTGCTATGGTGGCTATATGGTTATTAAATTGGTAAAATATGCGCAACATTAAATACAGCTGAGCAACATATAGAAAGCATTTCTAGATTTTTTGTTCAATACAGACAGTCCATGAGTTATGAACATCTGAGTTATGAACAACTAGTATTTATGAGCAAACGGCCATAAAGCCTATTAATTTTTTTTAAAGTACTGGAGAAAATTATCATCACCATAGAGAGACAGGAAGGGGAGAGAAGGAAGGCCTCCAAAGCATCACCATAAAGAGAGAGGAAGTGAAAAGGTAGAGAGGGAGGCCTCTAAAGCGGGCCTTCCTGCCCCACCCATCTGGAGAGGGGAAATTGGCATTTCTGTGCTGCAAAGAGGAGGCATTGGTTTAGTTTGGGCAGTGAGGCTAGAGATATTTGCAGTTTTTCCACTTTCATGAGGGTCTGGCACCCCTAACTCCCATGAATGTGGAGGGTTGACTATACATGATCTACCTTGCATACAAATTCAGCTTCCAGACAAATTTCCATTTTCTCAGGAATGGAACTCGTTCATAACCTGAGGACTGTCTGTAATTAAGTTGTGTATTTGCCAATTAAATTTGATAATTGACTCTTGGGTAAATTAACTAGAATAATCTCATTGAAGAGGCCATAATGTTGTTCCAATATATACTTAACTTTATATCTCTTTTCTCATAAACAATTGCTTGTCATTGTGGTAGGACTCTGTTTACCATAATTTACAGTGCAATTCTACACACAGAAACTTAGAAATAACTGAAGTTGAGTTCAGTGAGGGGATTTCTCTGGTAAGTTTCTACAAGATTGCAGTCTTGGTTTAGTATTGGTTGCAGCTATTGAGGTCACAGTAGCAAATGCAGTCTGAACTATATTTATAGTGTCTGTTTGACCAGCTCAAAAACATCGATCTGCCATGTAAAATTTATTTTAGATTGAAATTTTGTTTAGAACTTTGGCCTGAATTGCCTTTTTTAGTTTTGTAATTGAATTTCTCTTGACGCTATTTTCTCTTTGTTCCTTTGCGCAACTTTCTGTGGTGCAAAAAGTTATCAGCTGCACATTCATAAAAATAGCTTGGTACAGTCATAAGTTTGCTTCTTTCCCCACCTCCAGCCAACTCTGGGGCACTCTCTCAAGGTACTTGTGTAGAAAAACCACTCTCCCCTTTCATATTACATTAACTAGATGTAAAATCAATCTTTTAATCTACTGAACAGGTTTTGTATTGATCAGGATCCAGAGACCCACAGTAGAGGTACTTTGTTTGAATGACAGCCCTCCTGTACAAGTCCACCAACTGATAGTAGAAATATACTCCCACATGCACAGATAATAAAGTACTAGAAGGGCCAGGTGACCCCAGGTGGTTTTGTCCCCAATGCTGGAGCTTCTTTTCCGAACAGACATTTTGCTTTGTCATCCCACTTCTTCAGATATCAATCACCACCGCCAACATGAGAAAAATGCCTTCCTCCATAGTTAAGTGCTGCTACATCAACTGCCAAAACAGTAGGAGTGAGCAAATAGTAGACTGAAATCTACTGGTAGGTTCCTGCTGACTTACAGTGAGCAGGCAAAGATTTCAGAGTCCCAGTTGTTTAACAAAAATAAGAAAGACCTTCCCATGCCTTCAATTTAGTTGCTGAAATGAAGAAAGCCAGTATGGGGGCCGGGGGATAAGTAGGAGTGAATTTTTGTGAAGGACTGTGAACTTGATTCATTTCTGCTACTCAAAACAAATTAATAGGCTCAAAATCTTTTGCACCAGGCTCATCTCAAGGTGCTAGTTAAAAAAAACAACAAACAACAACAACAAAAAAGTGGATCCCATAAGCATAAAATGTAGTTTGTGTACTCAGTCACCACGTGCAGAACCTTGTATGTGTGATTCTGAGTGCTGTTTCCCCCATTCTTTTCAGAAGAGGGAGCCAATCTGTTAGTGCAGATAGAATTCATAGGCTACCTCCTTTGAAGTGCATCAGCAAGTTTCTTATAGCTGGCAAAGATCTAAATATAGGAGTACTCATGTCTTCTGTTAGTTTAAGAATACGTTTGTAATGTTAAATTTTATGTCTCATATGTTGTACATTTCACATCTTTAATATCTGTTATGTCATTCCAAACTGAATCATTTAATTGGTATGTGTGCACAGGCAAATGCTCAATTCAACATCAACTTCAGTATTTCAGAATAAGAAATCTCCACATACCTCTTCTTGTGCATATTTTCTTTTAGTATTTTATTTATTCATGAAATACTAGGTCCCTTTGTTTTTAATCTGAATTAGGAAAACATGCTTTCCCTTTATTGCCCTACTTTTATTTTACTATTCCCTTTCAGAATGCGGGCGATGTCATTCATCTTCTTTTACAGCACAATGCAAATCCAAATGTCCTGTGGAGTGGTCATTCCCCTCTTTCTCTGGCTGTTGCTACTGGAAATGACCAGGTATGTGTTATAGCTCCACACTGTAAGTATTCTGAGAAAATAATGGAAAACATTGTTTCAGATATAATTTTGATACTGAAAACTCAGATGACCAATTCTAATGTTTGTTTAAACATTGGCCAGTCACAAGTTCTTCATACAGTGATGTCAACATGTAGATAATTTTAATAAAGATTCCCTGAAGTCCAAAAAATAAGCAAGCTAGCCTTGTACAAAGATATAGGCCTGACCATAGGCAGAGGAGAGGAGAATGCCTTTGTGGGGGCCTGAGGCTTTCATAGCAGGGCAGGGAGACTTTCCCCATGCCTTCCTCTTCTCATGCTGGACAAAGCAACATTAGAGTGTAGCTGAGCTTAGAATGCTGCCATTTTGATGGAGCAATGGTGTGGGGGGGTGGTACACCAATGTCACCCCTTTGCTCTTGTACCAGTGACAGTGGAAGACTCATATTCTGCTGCCAAAGAGAGGGAACTGATCCTTCCTTATCTACCAACTTAGACCTGGTGGTGGGTTATGTTTACACCAGGAGGGAGAGCATAACTTCTGTGAGTAGCTGTTTCAATTGAACCTTTGCTTTAGACCAGCGGTGTCCAACCTTTTTGCTTCTCTGGGCTGCACTGGAAGAAGAAAAATAGTCTTGGGCTGCATGCTAAATGTACAAGCGCTAAGGAACGCTGGTGAGCCAAGAAAAGTTTGTGCAGAATTTTCATGATATCTGCCACCACCATGCATACAAATAGCAAGAGCAAATGTGCATTTATTTTATGGGGTGTTGCAGTATCACATTGCTGTTGGCAGAGTTCATGCTCGAGAACCATGTGGTCAAGTCACCCAAAAATTGCAAAAGGATCTCAGTGTTTGAAGTTTATGATTTTACATCGGGCTGCATCTGTAGCCCTCCTGGGTCCTGCGCAGCCTGTGGACCGTGGGTTGGACACCCCTGCTTTAGACCATATTGTGCTTTAAAAATATTTATAATAATATTTTCAATATATTTTCTTTTGCTGTATTTACTCAGGCAGTGCTTGAGCTTTTGGCTGCTGGAGCTGACCCAAATATGCCATTAAGCCAAGATATTGGGAGTGCGCTGTGTGCTGTAACTAACCCTGCATATGAACACAATAGGACATTAGAAAATAAGATGGCTCTGGTAAGGAAAACTTGAAGCCTTCCAGTGCTGACTTTCCAAACAGAGAGACATGCAGTTGTGGAAACCGCAAGAGAAAAATGGGGTTACACAGGTCAAAACATGGAGAGACCTGCAGTGGTGTGGAGACATGAAAGTGCTGTGAGATGAAGAGAGAAAAGATGAAGTTAACTAAGAAAGGGGACTGCAGAGGCCTGTAAGGGAACTAAAAACAGAGAAGCTGTGACTGCAGACCTTTAATGAAGTACTCAGGGCACAGAGAGATTAGAACCAACTGTTCAGTTGTTATATATAAAGTAGTGAAAAGTTGTAAAAATGCACAAAACTGACAAAATTATTATTTGACAACTTAATATTTTCAAACTTAAATGCCTTATATCTAATATAACATTCAGATAATTTGTACAAACAGAAAACAGTCATATCTTTGAATATACAACAACTTTATATCTTTAAATTAAGGGGATTGTTTAATTCAGTAAAAACCAAACTAACAAAATTTTAATGAGTCCATTTCAACCACAGGTCTTCATCAGTGGTCTAATATGGGGAAAAGAAAAAAAGAAAGAAAAATGCATCCATTCAGGTTTCCCACACAAATCTGCATTATGAAGATTCCAGAATCTACATCTCCAAATATAACTAAATACTTAGTTTAAAAGTACTATCAAACTTGCTAAAAATGAGTTTTAGAAATGGGCAGTTGTGTAATATGTTAATAAACTTAACTAGTTTAGGTTCATGCTCATGTACATTGCCAGATCTAAAAGTATAAAAATGCATATGAATTTGCAAACAATGTCAGAATGATAAGAGCTTTATGGACCACTGAGGAGTTATACCTCTGAATAAAGCAAGTAATGCGGTAGTCCTAAAAACATATTCGTAAAGTTTTTCTAGAAAATAAGTTAAAATGTACTAAATGTTAGCTAAACAAAAACTGCATACTCACATACACCCAGTACACCTTCTTTTCCAGAAATCTGTCTTGCCTGTTGATCAAAATGGAAAAATCTAGGATACCTTTTGTACCCTTGACTCCACTTGATTTCCCAGTTGATTGGTTGGTTCTTTGTTGTTAGGTGGGGATATGTTTCCTTTTTGGTGGTATAGAGAGGGTACGGTATGCATACTAAGCCACAGAAAGAGAGAGAAAATGTCAAGGGGTGGGTTGAAACAAAAGTGCTTGTGTTGGAATTGTGGCACAAATGCTTTTATTTGGTCAGTGTGGTGATGCAGCCAAATAAAGGAAGGAAATTAATTAAATAAATGGAATGAAAACAAAACAAAACTTTTAAAAATAAAATGTGGATGCCTAAGAGATTTGAATTGTATACCCTTGCCCTACAGGAAAATGGAGTGATCCATTTTTTGAGCAGTCCAGCCACTGTATATAATTTGGTTTTAAAGAAATACTTCAGTATTAGGAGCATAGTCCTTAATTTAGCTTCTATGTTGAAGTTTCTTACTGATTTAGACTGTGTGAATTATGGAAAAGTGGTCACATGAGACTTGATGTTTGCATTTATTTGGGTTTTTTCCCTCGTGTCTTCCCAGATCAATACTCTAATAGCAGGAGGAGCAGACATGTTGATGCCAATTACTATTGGGGATGGGACTAAAAATGCAGTGGGAACAGTAGTAGACTATGCATATTTCAAGTACTATCAGGTATCTTCATTTCCTAGAATGTCAAAAGCATACTAAAATGTTGTGAGCCTTGTTTCTCACTTGTCTTACTTTTCTTTTCAACTTTTTCTTGCTTTACCTATTTTTCTTTGAGCTTAAATTCATCTTTCTATTGATGTACAACTTCCAGAAAGGTTTAGAGATAACAAAAGATGTCCTTTGGAGAAAAATGAATTTATTACTTCATATTAAGAGAGCTGTTACATTATGTTCTTACAAGAAACAATCACCCTACAAGGTAGAGTTTAGATGGTTAAAACCAGCTCTTAAAGACAAAACTAAATATGAAATACTTGCACATTTTTAAAAGAAGCAAGGAGCTGCAGCTGCGCATGTGTGGGGTGTATTGATCATAACTGGAATCACAGCAAGGGGTGATTTAATTCCTCTCTTCTCTACAATAGTCCTGGCAGAAATCACTTTTGAAGCTGCTCTTTTCATGTTAATGGGATTGGTTGTAAGGAAAATAGTGAATAAAGCTCAAGATGTTTTCTTTAAAAATGCAAGAAAAATGCAAGAAAGCAGCTCTTGTGTTGTTGTCGTGATTGAGATATATATATGTTCAGTTGCAAAGTCATGCCTGACCCATCACAACCCCATGGACAACATTCCTCCAGGCTCTCCTGTGCTCCACCATTCCCCAGAGTACCCTCAGTCCCACACCAACCACCCCAGTGACCCCCATCTAGCTACCTCAATCTCTGCTGTCCCCTCCTCCTTTTGACTTCAATCATTTCCAGCATCAGGGTCTTCTCCAGTGAGTCCTTCCTTCTCATTCGGTGGCCAAAGTATTCGGGTTTCATTTTCAGTATCTGGCCTTCTAAAGAGCAGTCAGTGTTGATTTCCTTTAAAATTGACTGATTTGATTTCTTTGCAGTCCAAGGGACTCTCAGGAGCTTTCTCCAGCACCACAGTTCAAAGGCATCAATTCTTTAGTGCTCAGTTTTCCTAACTCTTACAGCCATACATTAAAACTGGAAAAACCATAGGTTTAACTCTATGAACTTTTGTTGGCAAGGTGATGTCTCTGCTTTTCAGTATGCTGTCTAGATTTGCCATAGCTTTCCTCCCAAGGAGCAAGTGTCTTTTGATTTCTTGGCTGCAGTCACTGTCTGTGGTGATCTTGGAGCCCAGGAAAATAAAATCTTTCATTACCTCAAATTCTTCCCCATGTATTTGTCAAGGAGGTATAGTGTATGATATTGTCAAGATATTGAAACCCAAAAGTGGGAGGGGTAGGGCAATTTGGTTAATGTCCACTAAGAAAGATATTTGAGGACATGCTGGTGTCTGTGTACAATGAAAGTTAAACATGACAATCATTATTTGTCACAGAGGCACAGAAACAACCAGGAGCCTGTGTAAACAACAAGGTGTTTAACTAATGTTTAGAAATATTCTCTGTGCTAGCTAATTGCATATAAGAAAGAAGATAGTTGTGATGATACACGCCTGTGTACTTAAGCGTGGCATCATACAGAGTTTTTGCATTGCAGGATAAGAGAATATCACGAACTCCATTCCATGCTCTGTCCCCAACTGAGCGGGATACCTTTAGTAATCGTAAAAAGTTGTTGGAATTTCTCAGTGAACAACTTCGTGAGTGTGTCATCTTGAAAGAAAAACAGTGGAACAAAGAGGAACTTAGAAAACTCAAATTAGGTAAGGTCAAAGTTAAATCTTGAAAATATAGACATATTTTAATATAGTGTATATATCCAGTGATAAAATACATGGTAAACTGAAATATGAAGTGTAACAATATTGCACTGTGTGCTTCCCTCCCTCCAGTCTGCTGCCATTTGCAGGTCAGGAGACAGTTCACCACCTATTTTAGATCACATTATGGATGGAAAGGGGCTGCTACTTTTGGTGATGGCTATATAATTTTCCTAGCATCTAGTTTCAACATCTAGATGTTTGGCTGATTTTATCCCATTATTTCTATTCATCCTGCAAAACAAAACAAAATTAATGTCCCAAAAAATATGGGGTAATTTTTTTACCCCAGACAGAAATGCCTCAGACAAAGCAAATGCTTCATATGAAAAGGCCTTTGTTTGACTTAATGTTTCCCCAAGGAGGCTCGAATCACGCCAAGAATGGATTTCAGGTTTCGGCTAGTATGGATTATTTAAGATTCCCTGCATCAATGCTCAACAGTAATATATGTGTAACAGTGTTTGGCCTATTGACCTTCAAGCTATATAACAACTGTTTGACCTACAAACTTCAAATCAACACAAAAAAGCTTTCCTTCAATGGATTTTATTGCAGTTTGCAGAAGGTGTTAGTTCAGAAGAGCTAACTTGGCCTTCAGAAGAGATCAAGATGACCTGTACTTTGCATGTTTATGCTTTTTCTTGGGAGGGAAGAGTACCCCACATACCTATTCTTATGCAAATTTGGGAATGTTTGGTACCCCAGGCATGCTTTTGGCTTATGGAAAGAAAGCTGTAAAGAGCAGGATGCTCTTTAGGACATTCAGGACATTATTCAGGACATTATTTACTACCCTGATTTTAACAAAGTCCTAAAGATTATAGGTTCACCTGTGTGAAAATTGCACAACAGAATGTGAGCTTGGGGGATCCCAGTTGCCTAATGTACAGGATGAAAAGGAATAGGTAATTTTGCTAACATTTGTAAAAGAAGCAAATAAGCATCTGATAAGCATAAGAAGCTCACACTGAATTCAGAGATATATGAAATGCCAAAATTGGTCCTGAAGTGTACATAGTCTGGCATTATGTGAAAAGTCTTTCATTTTCATGTTTGTATTTTTGTTGTCATGCAGCAGCTAGAAGAAAATCTATAGTTGCAACTGGGGGAGTATCAGAAATGGATACATCAAGGTAAGAATATGAGTTTCATTATAACTTAATTCATATTGTGTTTGGGTAGTGGGGACAAGTCTTGTCATATCCCCACACCCCAGACTTTTTTAAAACTCTGGGCAGATTAATTGGAAGTATGTGAATTTGCAGTACCACTTATCTAAGAAGAGAGTTTTTAAATTAGTTTAGAAATTTAAAAAAAATTATCAATAACAAGAGAAACCATGCAGTAAAAATAAGAATTGTTCACTTTTCTGTGTGCATTCAAATTACCTTTTCTTACATTGACAAGTTGGACTTTCCCCCCTTTTAATTAACCACATTTTTGCTTGTTAATTCTCACATGTAAACAGGCATCTGTTTCCCTGACAGTATTTTTCTTTTTTATGGTGTTTCTTCCTTTCAGACTGCTTTTCTTCAAATATTGCTTTCAGTGTGGTCGATCAGTTGGTATGAACCTTTCACCTTGCACACGCTGTTATGAGATCTTTACCTGTAGTAAGTCTTGTAAAATGAAGGCTTGGAATGAACGCCACAAGCGAGAGTGTTTTCATGCAGGTAGGTAGGTTTGTTTGGTGGTGTATACAGTATGGTGTGCAACTAATACAGAATACAAAAATCTTGCTTAGCCAACTGGGCTTTTCCTAGTAGAACCACCAAGGTTAGTTACGCACAGGGCATTGCAGGTGCTGCTTCAAATTTAGGGTCAATATTCAGTTTATTAACAATGGGTCAAATATAAGAAGCTTGTTAGCATTGCAGGTTCAGTAAGATCTTACAAACAGTGTATAAAAATTACTAGTGTCCCAGTGGACTTATACAGATTTACATATGGACGTTTTTTGAAACTATAAGAAAGCCTTTATTAATTATGTGTGTCTTCAAGTTTTATAACCTGTACAATTCAATAATAGCAAATAATATACAAGCTGAATTAGAAAGAATATGTTCAGTGGTTCACTATATAATCTGCATTGCACATTTGCAGTATGTGTTATCTCAGTGCATTTCCAGAGTCTCATGAGATTGTATGAGACTGTATACATTCACTTTGCTGTGGAAACTTCAGGAAATCAGTTCTGTGGCCCACCTTTGCTTTGTCATATGTTTGCTTCTGGAAAGGAAGACTAGTCTATGTGAATAAGTATAACCTGAAGTAGCACAAAAAATTTGTTATCTCATTTTATTCAACTAATTTCTTTTCTGCAACATTCAGCTAGATTATTTATGCTTAGCAAGACAGATGAAAACTTTGCCTGGAAACAGTGGACATATAATTTGTGAGACAATGGATTCAGTACAGAGCTCAGTAAGGGTAAAAATTGTATGTCTTCTGTGCAAGGAGGGCCTCCGTGTTTCCACAACTGTCAGAATGTATAACCCACAGATACCTTGTGTTTTGTATAACAATTAAATGCAGTGTTTTTTTATGTGTCTCAGTTGGAGTGCTGTATTGCCATGTATGGTGTACCATTACACCATAGGGCTTCTCAGCACTCCTTTGCAAATGTGAACATGTAGTTTGCTGGTTGTGCTGCTTGTTGTAGAATGCAGCTTGCTGTTTGCAGTGTGGGAGATCAGTTGGGGTTGGAGTGGGGATGCATGGTTAATTGGATCTTCCATTCCAGGATACCTCTGAGGGTCCTTGAAGTAGGGAAGTAATTAGGTTTGGGGTAATTGTTTTTCCTTTGAGCTGCACTGATACTTCAAATGGGTCAGTGCTCTTAAAAAGTATTCTTGATTGCATCTTTGATGGAAGTTGAGGGATGCACACTATACCATGTACATCCTCTGGTTCCAATTCTTTCCCTTCTTTTTCAGGGCAGTTCCTCTCCCCTGCTTTTTCTAGCTAACTTTCAATTGACCTGATGAGACTGTTTTTCTTCCTTAATTTTATAATTTGAAAACATGTCATGCTGTGCTGTCTTGTGTGGCTTTCAGCTTTTCGGACAGATTAAGCCTAAACTTATTTTGCATTTCTTTATAAAACCAGATAATTTATTTGGAAACTCACATTCATCTCTGTTAAAACAGTGGACCAAGGGATCTAGAATTTAGCACAATGACACCCATCCAGATTACATGAAGCAAATTTTCCTGAAGTTTATTTATTTGGATAACTTTAGTTTGGTTGAATATGAAGGTTTTTTTCCTTCTTCAGACTATGGTCTTTTAGAAATCAAAGTTAGAATTCCTAGTAGATTGAGAAGAACTGAATTTTGGGACTTCTGCCATACAAAGGTATTGCATGGGTTTGCAGGGGAGTGGATGGATGGATAATATGAAAAGTGCCATTTATTTGGGTGGTCAGTGTAACATACAAAAGGCAAAATTAGTGTGCAGTCAGTATAGGCAGCTGGGTTTATTTATAGAGCTTGAACTCCTGAAGCACCTGGACTTGAAAGTCAACTAGAGAACTGGGAGATAATGACCCTTAAAGAGAAGGAAACCAAGCCTGAGGGCCTTGGAAGAAGATCTATGCTACCTTAAAGGGACTGCATATATGAAGATTGCCATTTTTATACAAGAATATGATATGGTGCTGTTCAATGCTTTTGGAATTTAATCAGGCAGCTTAAAAGCTGTGCTTGTGTAATGAAAAAATACAATTACATTATTGAAGAATATTGAATATGCAGAAAAGAGAGACTGCCCATGGAGAACCTGATACAGAAATCTGACCATTGGAATGGAGCAATCATAACGAAGACTTTCCAAAGCTTTCAGACACTGAAGTAGGGAAGTATTAATTTGAAAATAGGTATTGCAAATCAAAGACACAAGAAGAGGCTGTCATCATTTTATCTGCAGAAGATGTGTGCCATGAACAGTATAAAGAAAAGCTCCCATAGAGTATACAGAAAGGCCCATCTAATACTGCTTTGTTAATGGGAGATTATGAACATAGGAAGTAATCTTATACTGAGTCATACCATTGGACAACCTAGTCCAGTATTATCAACCCTGAGTGGCGGTAGCTGATGGGTTTCTGGCAGTTTTTCTGTCCTTTCTGAAGATGCTGTGGACTAAACCCAGAACTTCCTTCATGGAAAGCATATGCTCAACTACTGAACCACAGGCCCTTCTCATAGGTTGAAGTTAAATTTGCCAGATTGTTGTGTGATCTTTGCCCACAGTGAGCTATGTGTCGCCCAGGAACCAAAATACACAACCCATCCATAATCTGCTCCATGGACACATTCACTGCAGTCACCCTTGGCTTTCAGTGCGTATGCTGAGAACATAGGAAGACATTTACTTTTCTGGAAGAAACACTCCCTTCTATGTTACTAGTCTTCCCGTTTGGATACAGAATGGATACTGAGAGTAACGAAATCATTAATCTGAATTTCTGTGGTTAAACTGAGAGTTATATCTGGTTCTACAAACTTCCTGTTGTTCACTGGACCACACTGGATGATTTAATATTTCCATGATACTGAACAAATCACTGGATGGGCAGGACTTACAGAGAGATTGTCCAATGGTTCTACCAAAGAACAGTAAAGGCAAAGATCTCATAATGAGAATACCAAAAAGGATGAAATGGGATGTGGCAAAAGTGAAGATGAATAGAAAACTGTAGCGTTTCCAGTCCACTGATGTAGTAATCTGAAGCTACAACATATGAACACTGGTGAACAGTGATAGCTGTACCACTAATGTGTAGAGCTTGAAGTACAGGAGTAGATTCCTCAATTTTATGTGAGTCATTGTGATGAAGTGCAGAACTGGGACTCAGGTGGTCTGGGTTCTAGTCCCCACTCAGCCATGGAGCTCACTTAAGACTTTGGGCCAGTCACTGATTCTCAGCCCAACCTACTTTACAGGGTTGTTGCTTTGAGGATAGAGAGGAGGATGAGAATTATGTGAGCTGCCTTGAGTTCCTTGAATGGAAAGAAGGTGGAGTATAAATACAATAAATAAATAGTAAAATTTCTCCCCAAGAGGACATTTTTGTAAAGACACACACTGAAAATTTAAAATCAAGTAATGCTCATTTGTTGTGCTATGTATGTTCAAATTACTGTATACTGTAATGTAAGAATGTATGTAAGAGGGTTCTTCCATTCATAATGTTTTGCTGTTGAACATTCTGAAATGTCTTTGCAACTTATTTTCTTGCTGCAAAAGATGCTTCATCTACAGTTGCATCTGAGGAAGTACAACTGCCACCTATTTTGGACAGTAAGTAAATCATTACACTGACCTCTTTGATTAAGGAATTGCCACATTTAAAAAAAATCTGAAAAAATAGCAATGTGCTACAAAGTTGCAATCTGGCAAGGACACTTGTCAACTGAGACAAGGTGTGTACACCAAATTACAACTTTTAGCCTGTTATTTTTTTCAAGTGTGGGATGGGACTTTGTAAATGTCCAGCCAGGGTTAGCAGTAACTGGCTTGCTGCAACTCGGGGGGCATCTCAGTGCTCCTGCAGTGTCCCCTGGGTTACTGCAGGAGGACTGGTGGGGTGGGAGGGAGAAGAGGAATGAAGAGGTACACAACCCCTGCTGTGTGTGATTGCAGTTTGAATCCTAGAGCGTGGGTAATCCAAGAGGTTAACCCAGACCTGTCTTCTGAGATCAGGAAGGCACCATTTTCTTGTTTTTGGCATCTTTTGGAGCCATCTGTATTTCAAGGTGCCTTCTCTGCTTGACCAGCCATGTTTTTATTCCTAGTCTGTTTTTAAAACTTTTAATATGTCATTTTATTTTTTGTACATTGTAATATGGTGACTTTATTCTTTTTATCTTTTGTTGTTCCTTGCTGTGAAATATATTTAAATGTGGAGTAATATATACAAGTTACTAAATAAATGTTATTAATAAATAAATAAAAATTGCATACTCATTGTTTTCATACCTCTTTTGTAGCCATTGTTCCCTTAATATGCTTTTGCTTCAGCTCTGTTTTTTATTTGCAGTGGCCCAATTAGCTCTTCTGGTCAGGGATAATAAGAAGCCTTAATGCTGTTACATCGCTAGTCAAATTTGGTTACATGCTGCCATTGTGATGGCAAACAAAACTAATTTAGTTGTGCTTTCTAGAGTAGCTTCATTGGTAATCTCAGAAAGATGCAGACAAATTCAGGACATTGCCTCCTGAATAAGCAGACACTTTTATTCATGTTTTACCAGTCCCCAAAAGAATTCCAAAAGATGAGCTCCTTTTGTTAATGATAAAAATGTTTGTGAAAGTTGCACTTCCTTTGGCTTCTCTCTAATTTCTACTGCTCTTGCCTTGTGGAGACTGAGTACAGGAAAAATATGGTCAAATAATTGACGATTAATCAAGAAGGCAACATAGCCATGTAATGTAAGAGTTGATTACTGCTGAACTTACCCCAGGCTAGAAAAGGCACCCTAAGCATCTGCTACCCCTTCCCTCAACCTGATTTTGGAAGTGCCTTGAAGGAATGGGACAGAGACAGGAGAGAAAAGCCTCCAGGGACTTTGGTTCTTTTCCATTGTCCTTTCCTCTTTTCTTTTATCCTGACCAATTTAATTTCTCTGGAAGAGGGAGGAAGAGCCAGAAGATGTGTGAGTATATCCATGTCTACAATAATTTTTAGCACCTTCATGCCAACATGGGCAGGAGAGATGCTGATTGGAAGTGGAGAGGAATACACTGGATTTTGAGAGCCTGAACTCTTTCACTAATGAATAAGGAGGCAACAGTAAGGATGGTGGGACAAAGCTGGCAAGAAGCCAAGTTCATCCATTCAACTTAATCTTTTATGGTCAATTTTTAAAGGGCTATGATGGGCAAGAGGGCTAAAGAGCAGTATGTTACAGCAAGAGGCAGGTCGGAGTAATTTTTAAAATCATGTCGAGCACTGCAAATTCCATTTGTTTCCATTCGCTAATTCAGAACATTCTTGTATAGAATTGTCATATAATAATTATAGTATTCTACTTAGCAAAATGCTAATTATGTGTGTGTATATTTTACAGTGCGACTACGTAGGACTAATCGGGCAAAAGGCAAAGTAAGTCCTCAATCAAGAAAGCCAAAGGAGGAAAGCAAAGATATAGCAGCAAGATTTAAAAAGAAGGATGAGAAAAAGCCATGGAAAGGTGATGCATCACGAGGAAGGAGTCCTGAGAAGAGCAGCAGTCATGCAGATCTTCCTTACACTGGGAACTATAGTTATATTTAAATGCTGTTACTTTGGCCTGATACTGCTCTACTATATTTTGATGTAGGGAATGCAATATAAGGGAGGATGGGTAAAAGGATACTAAAAAAGAACTAAAGATATCTTGCATTCTTTTGTCAGTGCTGAAAACCTCTCACTGTGTTTAAAGTGATGCCAGGTAACTTCATTCAAGGATGTAGTAGTGAAATGTACTTATTTTTCCAAAGTGAGTTTGTTTGCATAAGCACAAAACCAAAACTTTTAAAGAATACTGAGATATAGTGAAGGTTCACCAGATGTTAATTGGGATTCTATGGTGGCTCTCTTGGAGGTGTAACACAGAAGGCATTAGATGGCAAAAAGCCATTTGTTTTTCAGCCACTGACATGTGTTCACAATACTTCAAAATCTGGTATAACATCATTACACCTGCTTTCTTAGGATAGTCTGTTCCTGGTTGCCAGTTAATTTGCTACTCGGTCACCATAGTGATATAGGCTCTGCTTAGCAATTGATGGTTCTGAGTGGAACTGTATTTCCATGGACCTGGAGTAGCTATGCTGATCCAGTCATTTTGTCATGAACAGACATGTAGGAAACAGTTGGGCTGGAACCTTTTTCTCCTGTAGTATTGGTAGAAATGTACACAGAGCTGGTCCAATAAGCTCTTAAGTGCACTCCATTCCCAGTCTTTAACCCTGTGAGCATTTTTTGACTTCAGGATCAAACCCTTGGGAACTGAGGCGGCCACTGGAAGATTCTGTGGCTCAAATTCTGCATTTAAGTTAATACATCTGAACTGCTCTTAAGTAGTAATATCATTGGACTCTGTATTCAGTACCTGTGCAACTGTATTAGCAACCTGTGCAGGTACAGCTCTGGTGCGGAGAGGTTCTGCAGGTGTTGTACTTGCAGCTGCAATGAAAAGGCAGCACAGATCCTCTAGGCTGCAATTCATTACTTAGTTGCTGTGCTTCAGGAAACTGATTTCGGTCTTAGTGTCATAATTATACAATGAAATAACAGAATGTTCATTTGCATGGTTTTATGTCGGTAATGTTACAGGTTTTTATGTTGCACAATTAAAATTTCTAAAATACTAGTTCGTTCTTTCATTCTTAGTAGGGACTATAAATAGAATACGACAATATATTTATATTATAGTGTGATCCTTTATGTTTACTCAGGCATGTGGAGTTTAATGGGACTTGGTACTAGGTAAATTTATAACACACATAAAACATTTAGGTAAGTAAGTACTGTTCCATGTAAAATATTTTCCTTCTAGCCCAGTTTCAACCTAGTGACACAGAAGATTGCAAGTTGCTCAGCCTCATCGCCCTGATTACATTCAGACTGAATCAAACTTAAATCCATGTACTAGAAGTGAACAGTCTAGTACTGTTGAATTTGGTTGTTGATCCTGTGGATGAGTGGATTTCCTGCTGGTCCGTGCGGAGGCTGCATCCCGCTTGCCGCTGACCAACGCAGTGACTGGCTGTGCTCCTCCACCTCTTCCTCAGTTGGCACTGTGTTTGCAGGGGGTGTGCTCATGCTGCTGTGGGGGGGGGGGTCAGGGAGGGCAGGGACAACTCAGTGGGAGCCTGCTAGGAGCCATGCTGAACCAGTTTCAGTATTTTGCTCTTTCATTGGCATTTTTTGTTGCTCGGTTTCTGGTTGTTTTGGAGAATTTTCATATTTTTGGTACAGTATACCCCCGTGAAGTCACGGTTCAGCATTCGCAGCTTCTGTCTTTCGCAGGATGTTTCTCCGAGCGAGTCCAAGCCGTTCTCCTTGCGAGTAAGCTTGTGCTGTGCAGTGGTTTACTTGCAAGGAGATCGTTTCCTCCGAGTTTGGACTCGCTTGGAGAAAATGATCTCTGTGCGCGCCTGCCCCTGCCTCGCCACATGTGCGCGCCGGTCCCCCCCGGCCCATGCCTTCCGCCAACACTGCCTTGGCGGCTGGTGCCCATTGCCAGCACCCAATTCGCAGTTTTTCACAATACGCCGGCGCTTTGGGAATGTAATCCTGTGAATTTTGGGGGACTACTGTATTGTGTTTGGAAACTAATGCACAGAATATTGTATTATGTGTATGGTGCTTTTTGCTTCTGCTTCCGCAGTCCCTGAGGTGGTTTTCCTTTTTTTGCCAATTCCCAGCTGTGGAAAGGTTGAAAACCACTGCTGTGAATGGTTTGCATATCCTTCACTACTGTGCATGTATGTGAACAAAAATATGCTCTTTGTCATTTATGAGACAAACATGAATATGGAGAGGCCTTACATCTGTTCCATTCTAACACAAGGAAGATGGGCTAGGGAATAGATGCTCCTAGAAGAGGGCCACATGCCTGGGCATCCTCTTCCAACCCTGCTCAAACATTGATTCAGACTGGGAAAACAGACAGCTTATTGATTGGTGCATGTATGCTGAAATTGTGACCTAAATGAACATGCTGTGTATGGAAGCAAGTTACTGGATGTAGGAGCCTGCTATAGGTCCCAAAAGATTTGTGTGTGAAAACCCCCTTTCATATATGGATATGTTCCCCCCCCCCCCAAAAAAAAACCCACCCTCATTTTGTGGATTGAAAGTGTATGAGCCGAAATGGTCACTATCCATTGTTCTCTGGGTCATTAGGATAATTAGTTAACTCCGGTTCTGAAAATACTGATTTGAAAATGAGGGTTGTTTCATACATGACGACATGTGTGTTTGTAATCATGCTAAAAACCATTCACTATGTCAGAATTCCATGTAATATCTTTATATAATACAAGGCTCTTAACCATGGTCTAGTCCATATATGTTTGGCCCGTAGTGGTCTGCCAATGGCATTACTTTGCAGTGCTGAACAGTACCACATATAAACAAAATGCTTTTCTAATCCATTACTATACATGAACTTTAGTGTTTGTCAAATTGAAATCAGCAATCATGAGAAGGTTGAATCATATGATGTCAGAAAGCTACATAATCCATTGCTATGAACAGCTGCTTTCCATAAAGCCAAGTGCTGGCACATCGGCTGAGTTCATATAACTTGAGGTTGAGTGTGGATTACTGTTGAAGCATGGATTGTTGTGTGAACCCAGTCACAAATGACCCATGCAGTAAGTGCATGCTTATAGAGTAGTGAACTGTAGCTTGTTAGCATGGCTGGGTTCACACTAACCAATGGCCCACAGTTCATTAACAATCCACACTCATGAGTGTAAGTGTCATGTTTTGTGAGCCCAGTTATTGGGTTGAATCAGGAATCTGTCTTCCTCAAAATGGTTCTGATCACAAAATGTCGTTCTTTTTTTTAAATCTCACCACCCTCATGCTCAATTTAGCAGAGCTTCCCAATGCTCTCCATCTGTTACATTTTCAGACAGCTGAAAGAGTTGCCATGAGAAGAGGAGGAAGGGGAATCCCATTTCTGTCAGTACAACTGACTCAACCAAAATCTTGATCCACCTCTATATGAAGAAATAAATGCATCTTACAGCTACATTTTCTGTGCCCCACAAAAAATATACTTGCAAGATAAATAGTTAAGCCTGTAGTCCTGTGCATACTTAACTGAAATTAAGTCCCTTTGAATTTAATGAGGTTTACTTTTGCACAGTCATGTGTAAGGTTGCCCAGTAAGTGACTGATCACTGCCTCCAACTTTAAGCATTAAAGCTGTAATTCTAAATACACTTCCTTGGAACAAGGTCCTACTGAAATCGGTAAACTCAACATACTGCCTTTGAGAAGTGACTAGTACTTATTGAATGGTCCAGCTGTCTGCCTCTCTCTATGTTTTGGCACTATGTCAAATTAGCAAATCACTTCTCCGGGCTATTATTATATATAGACCGATGCATACTATGTACTGGCATATAGGGTTTTCCTGTTCAACACCTATAAAAGCAGAAAAAATTCAACAGCACCTTGTTGCAAGTGGCATTCATATAGATTTAAGTCTCCAGCCTTTTTTATTTATAGAAGGATTCAAAGAACATAGTTCAACAGTGCAAGATAGTTACAAGTACCTTGGTAATCAAAAGAAATATATAAATGGCCAAAAATGTCAGTAATTGAAATAAATCTTACTTTTGCAGATAGAACTGCTTTCTTAAGCCAAGGTGTACTCTGGATATATTTGTACCTTAATTCTCTAACAAGCCCACCAGAATACAACAGGTTGTTTGTCATTTGTAAAGGATAAATATCACTGCTTTTAAAGCCTCAGTTGACCCCTTTCATTTGCTGAAATAGACATTATGGCACAAAAAAGATAAGTTGCACAACCACAACTCTTAAGTTTTGGTTGATCGTTTTTCAAGGGGCCTGTCTATTATGTTCCTTTGCTCAGTAACTAAGGGCAAAATCCTAGGGCCAGCATATGCCACCTAGCTGGCCATAAAAAAGGCCCTGTGTCCCCATTGTAACCTGGAAAAAGTGTTCTGATATTTCAACAGGGACTGTCTTCAGAGGACCCACCCTTTGCCCTCCCAGCTTGTGCGTTTTTCTTCTCATGCTGGCTGAGGCCCCAAAGATACAAAACTGTCTTTGGGACAGGTGCTAGCGGTGTGCTCTGGGGGTGGTGAGCAGCGGAGGGGTGAGGCATTGCTGGCTTCCACCAAATCCAAGCAGTGCCTTAGTCCCTCCTCTTCACAAGGAGGATGAAAACATCTGGATGGCTGAAATTGGCTGTCTAATTGCTGTTCAGGGCATGGGGAGCACAAAGGCAAGCCTCACTTCCATTCTGCTCTCATGCTCACTTGGGTCCCCATAACCACCTGAGTTTGGATGGTTATGGACAGCCATGTAGGGCGGTGCCCTAAATCCATCATAATACCCTGTGATACATGCAAAGGGAGTAATGTCATCTTGGTAACAAAAGGAAGCTAAATCTCCCCTGCCAAACATTTCAGATCCCATGAAAATGAGATACAGCCCTTAATCAACAGACTTGGGATCAAAGTACAAATGACAGAAACAAAGTATTTGTTGAAAGCTGATTCTGCTCACTTGTTGGGCGTTGGATGTCCAGGCTTTAGAGAAAAGGAAGCATGTGAGTGGAAGGTATGAAACCGCCCCTGGCTTGCTTCTCCACAGCTCTTCCCAATGGGACTTTTTGTTCACCTTGGCTTTGATATTGGAACTGTGAGAAACAAACCTTGAAAGGGTAGGGAAGAAAAGTATATGAGGAGGTTAATGGGTGGGTATGGGGGAGAGTAACCAATCCCCCATCTGTATACTTCCTTGGTATAATGATTTTATCCCTCCATTTTAGATGTACTTCAGACAGCTATGTTTTTTAAACAACAGACTGCCAGTATCTAGGGCTATATGAGAAGTTATTTTCAGTTTGTTTTTGATCAAGATGTTCCCAGTTCATACCTTGCAGACCAAACATGGACTTGGATACGATCTGTGATCAAAGCCCTTATATTTTGAAGCTTGCAATGTAATTTGTGGACCAAATGAATGCATTTGACAGCATCCATATGCAGCATCCATCCATATATTTTAAAAATGCATGAAAAATGCATACTTTTGAAAATTGTACACAACATATGCTTTTATCAATAGAAGAATGCATATATTTAAAAGATGTGCACAATTCATGCATGTATTTTGAAAAATACGCAGATTTTCACGCAAAAAAGGGGGAAGAATGCTCTTGCAATTTTATATGGACTCAAGTTGGAATGAGCTTCATGTTTTGCTGATTTGTACATTCCTACCAGTATCACGGATAGTTTGAGCCTTATATATGGCCCTGGGCTCTCTGAGTTTACAACTCTTCAGCAGACTGGCAGAAGATTTTCATTGGGGGAAGGAAATGATAGCTGTTTAACTTTTTCATCCACTGTATACAGTGTTTTATTTGTCAGGCATTTTATTCCTCTATGCAACAGGAGGGTACATATTTGAATGCAGTACTCTACTTTCTCTGGCATTTGAACTAACATTCAAAGGAGGCAGGATATTTGATTTTCATGCCTCATTTGTATTCACATTACTTTTAAGAAAAGTGTACCCAAAAACAAAAATGAATGTATTAGTTTGATTAGCTCAATAATGACAGTGAATGGGATATTATTCCACTCACAAGGGATTTAAAATAATGTGTACAAAACCAGGTGTACTTTGGAACAAAGAATTCATGCTGGCACCAGACTACAATATTGTATTTTCAAAACTTGGGCTATTGGCAGCCTCCAATACTGATTGGGGTGATTAGGAAACTAATTTCTTCCAGTGTTGTATAGAAATGAACAGAGCCAGGAATGGGAATGATAACTCAACTGAGCTAATTTACTGAAATTCACTGCTTGGCACTTTCTAATGCTACAATGCTAGAAATGCTTTCCTTGTTTGTAACTGGGTATGATAACAGCTTCCACTTTTCTGAAAGCTTCTGTTTAGCAAACACAACATTTTTCTTTGATGCAACACACAGAGTAGAAATGTTGCAACATTTATGCAAAGCTGATATATTTTAAAATGTAAAAATATATGTTCACATCCCCTGTTCCCAAAAAAGGAAAGCCATGATATGAGACAAAGTAAATTAACAGTGAAGTTCATGTCAAGGACTTCCTATCACTCAAATCAACAGGACTGCCTTGATCTGCTAGATATTTCTGGAAAACAGAGGAAAAGATGACTGCAGGTCAAATATACCAAATGATGCAAAGCAGAGAGCTGTGTAAGCACAAATACCCCAGCAGAAAAATACTTAGGTGTGTGTATATCTGTGGTTGGACTTTACCTCTTTCTCCATCCCAACCACCCTGATATCAGACAAGATCCTGGCAAATATGAAACAATCAGAAACAAAATGAGCAGAAGTGATAAGCAGTCAAATCTCTTTTAGCCTCCATAATGGCTAGAAGGGCATGGGAGTTAATTATGCCAACATGAGATGAAATGGGATAGCATTTGGTTGATTTGTAACTCAGACTATGGCTTTCGTCTGCCTGCTCTTTCTGTCTTTCCATAATTGGTAGAACTGGAGGCAGGCTGAAAGACCAGTAGTTCCTTGAAAAATCTGATGATTTGTCCAAGCAAATTCCCAGGGATATTTGACTGCCCCCTGGGCTGGTCATTTAGTCACTGTCTGATGTTGCTAACAGAATAAGTAGAAATACACAAAACCGCACAAAACAGTTTCTTTGCATTATCCCTTTGGTAAAAGTTGACTGTTGTTATTGTTAACCATAGGAAGATTTTCAGGCTCAGGCTGAAAAAAAACTCTCCAGACAAAAGTCTCCCCATGCATATTTCTATCACAATGTTGCATATTATGACTGTATTGCATTTTATCAATTTGACTGCTACTTTCAAAGGATCATGCCAAACCAAAATCTCACTCCACTTGGATGTAGGAGAAATATTAATTGACTTTGATTAATGTTACTAGACAAAACATTTGCAAATCAAAGGACTCTTGTTCCAAATTCCAGGATAATAAATCTGAGGATTGTACAGAACTGCCACTCCTACATCAAACCAAAGGAAGGACAATTTGACACTTGCTTAATGGAAAATTATGAACTGACCCCTAGTAGAGTACTCTGAAAATCTTCAAATTAAAAAGGTGTATTGTTCTAAACTGATGTAGCACACTCTTGGCTACAATTAAATAAGAATATGAGATACTTGCATATTTTATTGCAGTCAATAAAAATTGTATCACCTTGAGGATCATTTGTTTCTTTTCCCATTAAACCTATCTGCCAAGATCTCTTGTAGCCCCCTAGGTGCCTCTTTGTGGCATATTAATGACTTTTTTAATGAGGTACAGAAAGAAGGGGCCAGCGTTAAAAAAAAAGGGGGGGGGAAGACCAGCTCTAGCACTGCCAGGTTATCACAATCAAGAACTTTTATCTCCCTCATTTTGCCAAGATGAATTAAATATGTCCGTATTTTTGGCAAATTTAAGACCTCAACCACCACAGTCTTTTCATGGCTGCACAAACAAGTTACCGCCAGAGGTACTGTGTTGCAACAGCAATCAGAGAAAGCAACAAAAGAAAAGAGGAAGGCAAAAGTATGTTGCTGCTATTTCCACCAATGCCCTGTTCTGGCTGTTTAGGCATAGGATGAATCTCTGGTGGCCTGGTACTAGGACTCTTGGACAGTCTTTTGCCGCAGACTTCATCAAGGCAGCCATCACCGCTTCCTGAGCCACTGATGTCATCACCTGTACAAAAGAACTTGGGTAAGCATGGCAATGTCTTACAAGCTTGCAAGGAGGTCTGTTTCACATGCAATAGTCCTTGTAAAGCTGGTGAAAGCTAACTTGCAGAAACCATTTAGCCTTCTGGGACTATAACCTGAAAAGATGAATGAAGAATTTGGTGCACAGTGGAGCTGGTATGAGCATCTTCCTACATTTAAGAAGCAACCGAAAAGCTGCTCAAAGTAGGTTCAGGTTCAGCAATGCTAAAGTGCAGGTGGTAGAAATTCTGTGTGGATCCATTTAACCCACCATCTTGGATCTGTTCTTATAACTGTGCTTACAGGAGAACTTGACTTTACAGTCTCCAAATGGCATTGCTGCCAGAGAATTCATTTGAGAAGGAAGCAGATGATACATTCTAGTTTAATTAATCTGTAGTTCATACCATCCTTGAGTTCTGTATATATTATCATAAGACAGAAGCCCTTCCATCAGTGCGCAGTGGCAGACAGGAACCAGGGTCATTCCATCAGTTCTGCCTAACCCTGAATGGTTTCCACTGCAATTAGTCTTTATCAGATCACCTGTTTAACTTGAAGAATTGGCTCCCAAGTTTGTCTTTTTCTTCTTCACTACCCATCCTTTATGTTGTGTCTTTCAGACTGTAAGCATGTAGGCAGGGAGTGTCTGGTTTTATTGACTGAATGCAAATTGCTCTGGCAGCATTTTCAGACAAAAAGTAAGATAAAAATGTTTTAAATAAACAAAACATCACTCCATCACTTGAAACCTGCATCAATGGAGAATGACTGATTGGATCATTGTTTCTGCAATGGACAAGCCACCTTGCCTGGGTCCAGATGATGTGACAAACCATGGCAATCTTCCCCCATCCCCATTGGAAGGTCAATATTCAAAACAGTTGCCAGCACACACCAGATGCAACTGTGACTGAAATAATCCACAGTAGTAGTGATCATGCAAACCTGTTCTGTAGGCATTCCTTGCAGAAACTTACCCATGAACCTATGGCTAAGATAGATTAACATCCTAGAGTCTAGGATTAGTAACCACCTAGAGATGAAAGAATAAAAACATCAAGCATCTGTGGGTACTAACACACTTTCATGCACTCTGGCCATAGTAACATGAAGCAGCCAGCTGTTGTCTGTCGGCAGAGAGGCACACCCTTGTAGCAGCCAAGTAGCCACTGCCTCAGTGCATTTGTCCTGTATTAAATACAGACTAACAGAATTGTAATTTGAACCTCTCTGATCTGCTGCTTGCAGGACAAGGATTTCTACAGGCCTCTTTCAGCAGTAAATCTCATAAAATGTGCCACCTTCACAACACCACACTGGTCCATCTTCTCAGCCTTTTACTTACTTGTATCCTGGAAATTCACATCATTCCCATTGTATGCATTGCGCAATCTACTTGTCATAATCTTCAGCTGCAGGATTTGTTGGCGAACAGCCACATCTGGCTTGGTGATGTCTACCTCAACCTCTGGGTTATTGATTTGATTGGCTAGACCATCTCCCATCACATCTGGAAGGTACCTACAAAGGGCATGTGTGTTTATTGCAGGAAGTCAATTTTGGAATATTACACATTGCTGCAACTGATTTAACAATCTGACCTGGTTTGCATGGCCCCTGTCTGCCATTTCCCCCTTAGCATCATCCACGTCCCATTTTATCTAGCTTGAGTTTCTTTTAATGATGGAACCTGGGGTGAACTATGGCTTATTGAAGCAATCCAGCTTTGAGCACTGTTTGAAAGAAGAAGTGGATGATTCTGCTCTTCCTGTGACTGGGCCAAAGGAGAAATGATCTTGATCATTTCACATTGTTCTCAACCTTACCTGCCTTTCGTCATTCCATTCCAGCACCTGTCCTCATTCACAGAACCAGAGGATATTTTTTCATTGCACAGTGTGGTTGGAAGTGCAACCCAGAAGTCCCTTATTTCCCTCAGTTTCCCTTTGGCATCTGAAACCTGCCAGAAGGAGGAAAATCAAGGCTTAAGGAAGCATTTAATTTAATGTTAAAGCCTTTACATTCTAAATGCCACTGTTCATTTAGGTTAATTGATCCAGAGCTTAGAGGTTCAAATGCTGGACAGCTGTTCCACTAAGAAAGGATGCAAGATTCATCTCTGAATGCTCATCTGTTCTAATACATAGCAAACTGCTCCGTCAAACCAGTTATTTTATAGACTGGAAAGTGTTCAAAGCAGCATGTCTGGAAGTCCTAAGAAAAACTAGGAAAGAGAAACAAAGGCACAGCAAAAATTCTGGATGCCTAAATTGGTAACAGAAACACTAACATAGCAGAAGAGCTTATTGAAAGGGCAAGAAAAGTGAGAGAAAAGCAGGCAGGGAATTCAGCTAAGATCAAGCTCTTGCAGAGGTAGCCATCTTCAGAGAAGTAATCCTGTTAGTCTGTCGCAGGAAAAACAACAAAGAGTCTTGTGGTAATTTGAAATCTATCATGGCACAAGCGGTTTTGGACCTGAGTCTAGGATAACAGTTCACAGTTTGGATGAAGGGGACTCTTATGTGTTAGTCTTTAAGATACCATAAGGTTATTGTCCCTTCTGAAGAAGGTGGCAGAAGTGAAAATAATTTTGACCAATGCCAGTGGAAAAGTTGAAGAACTTCTGAACAAGTATACACTATGGCACTGGGAGTGGAACTTCTCTGCCAGTATTGATATGTGTCCAAAACCAAGAGGTGGATAAAAAGCTAATCGGGAAAATAAATAGGATGCAGGGTGAGGGGATATTTTTCATTTCAGAAAGACATCATTACACTGAAGGAGCTTGTGAATGCTAGAGTGGATGGTGCAAGGAGGTGGCAGCTCACATTCCTCCTGGTGCTGAAGGTGCTGTGGTCTCAGTATCTTATGAAATACCAACCATGCTATCAGTCTGTGCCCAAGAATAATACGGTTAGGAAATGAAATCTCATTGTCAAAGACATGTAGTGATTAATGTGTCCGCGTTTAGGTCTGGAGAAAACTAGGTTCCACCCACAAAGCTTGCTGGGTGACATTGGGCAGTTACTACATTTCAGTCTAATCTACCCCACAGGGTTGATGTGGAGCATTTCTAAAAAAATGAGTGGAGAACCTTGGTTTGAGCCCTTTGGGTAAAGGGTAAGATCAAAATTAATGCTGCCGTTGGTTCTTAAGCAAACCAAGAATGCCCTCATCATCTGAGCAAGAGGCTGCACAAACCATTCCAGCATGGAGGCTTTTCTAAAGTTTGGGTAACTTAATTCCATACTCACAAGTTTCTCTGAACTAAGCCCTGAAGGTTTATCTTCACTGACATATTTTCCTCGCCTCTTCTTATCCTCGACATTGGAAGCTTTGGGGTTGAATTTGGGATTTCCACAACCTTGAAGGATCTGGCAGAAAAGCAAAACTCTTTGTAGTTAATGTTTCCCTATTAATATTCTTTCCATTAATCCGATTTCTTCCTAACGTCACATGTACTGCCAGATACACAATTTCTAATATGATGACACTCCAATTTTCAGATATTTCACTACTTCCGGAACACAGGAATTTGCCTCATACCAAGTCAGGCCATTACTTCATCTCGCTTAAACAGTTGTAGTGGAACTCTCGAGTGTCAGGCACGGCTCTTTCCCATATTTGGAATGGCATCGGGGTCCTCCTGTGTGCAAAACACGTGCTCTACCACTGCCCCTTCTGCAAATCTAGTCTCCTTTTGAGCTGGCACTGAACTGGAGACCTGAAGAGTTCCATGTGGTACAGCACCTCCATAGTCCTATGCTCAGCCAGCTGAGCTATGGAAGGGTCGGTAAATTCCACCAAACTGTTCACGTCCTTTCCTTGAAGGAAAACGGGATGCAGATTGTGGAAGAACAAGTCCTATTTTGTGTCCTCTTAAACTCTTTCCAGCACTGCATTTTTCAGATGTCCCTGATTTCATATCTCTGTAATAATTATGTTGTGACCACATAAACAGATACCCTAGATGAAAGACTTCTCTTGCTGGCTATCCTTGCAATCTAATGATAAACTGATCTATCAATCAGCTCTGATTTTAGTTAAATTGTGAAAATTTCACAGTCATTGCAGTCATTAATTACTCACTGGAGTAGAGAACTTAGCTCTGGGGTCTGCTGCATGGTGCTCACAGATGCCAATGTTCCAATGGACACCTCTCTTGGTGCTCCACAGGCTCCTGCTCCTTCAGATTTTTATTTTATTTACTATTTTAATTAAATCATTTTTAAACTAGGAGACAGGTTGCTGTGTAGTGAAGCGCTCTAACACCACCTTTACTTGAGAACAAATAAGTGGCTTTCTGCTTTGAAGCTCAGTCTGCACCAGTTTGGCTCCTGGGAAATGAGTGCTTCGTGACAGCCACGCTTTCAAAGTCACTTTACGGATGGGGAAGGCACCCCTGCAGCAGTCATTTTCTTGACCCTTTCAAAATTCCAAATGAGTCCATTGACCTCAGCAGGCTGGAATCCCTGATTTCACTAGTTTGCCCTGGAACAGAGTTTCACGTAATTATCTTGAGCTCCTAGATATCACCTAGGAGCCTTCTTGCTATTTTCACAGCAACGGTGTGACTCTACTGCCTTGCTAGCTGTTGCTTTAAAAATTGTACATAAAATATTCTGACATTTGTTTTATGAAGAGACAAACAGATCCAGCTTCGTCACTGCAGCTCACCCATATATGGTTTATTACTGTGCTTATTTCAAAACTATTCTTCCAGGGGCATAAAAGCATGCAAGAACCATGAACGATACCTTCTGGGAGGTACAGATTCATTTATTCCCTTGTGCTCTCTCACTTTGAATTGATGACTCTGTTTCTACATTGTATTAACACTGTATTTTGTGTGGAGCTGCTGTAGTTCTCTTTCTCTCTCCCTCTCCCTGCTGGCCTATCAATGACTTATCTACTTGCTAGTCAGTTCCTGATTCATTCTCTATCAGCATCTGTTAGTTACAGTTCTTAGGAGTCATGGGAAAAGCAGCTGAACTTCAGGAACACAAATTAACCTGTTGTTAGCAGCAGCCTCAATCCGATGGGGAACTCCACAGTCTTAGGAATGATGCTGGAGTGAATTCTTCCATGCAGGGCTAATGTATCACAGATATTGCAGCTGTGAAAAACTTTTGAAATCAAGGGAGGTGAGAGAGAGAAAGATGGAATTTTGAGGTGAAGTTGGGTCAGTTGCCATTGAGAACTGGAGTCAGGATCTTGAGAATATGTAGCAATAAAAGCTGAGTTCAGCTCAGAATAGGCTTATCCGATATCATGTATCTATACCATTTCTAGCTGTTCAGTACTGAAAATAGGTGTACAACCAGGTCTTAATTCTTTACCAGCAAAAATTGCTGGATTTTTCTTATTGTTACTTTGACTTGGATGACAGATAGGGAAAAAAATCATAGGCCAGAAATTCCCAGAGTATTGTCTGAAGTCACATGATACAGAAACCTGTGTCTGTGTCTGACCCACTTCATGTTCCTTGCAAGAAAAGAGAAATGGAAATACACACAATAAAATATAGATATTAGGTGAACTAAATTTTCCACTCTGCAGTCTGGCTATTTACCTTGTTTGTTATAGAATCTTTGTTGTCTTGCATGTTAGAAATGGCTTCTGCAATCCTGGTATGAATTGTACCAATTACAGTGTCTACATTGGATGGTGCATCAAAGCGGTCTGCTACCAAGAGCAGTGAATCTAATGGAGTAAAGAACAGACATGGCTTACAAATCTATTACAAATAATATTTCAAAAATGTTTTTGTATACTCATTGCAAACCAGTACTCGTGATGCTGGTCAACTCAGATACTTTGTATATTCATGTATACTACAGAACAAAATGCAATCAAATGTCCACTCCTTCAGTAAAAGAGGCTAGAACAGCATTTTATTTATTTATTTATTTATTTATTTATTATATAAATTTTTCATAATTCCCAAGGTGACTAATGGTTAGATGGAATTTAGTCTCTAAGAGGGGTAGAGAACATTTGGTTCTTTTAATGTTGGTGGACTGTAACTCCCATCAGCCCAAGTCAGCATGATCAATGGGCAAGATGATGGGATCTGTAGTCCAACAATATCTGGATGCCAATGTTTCCCAAACTCTGACCTAAAAGGATCATCCATTTAATTTGCGCATTCTTATAACTGCAACATTACATATACACTGGAGAACTGCCTTTCATACTCCTTTTCCATGGCTGAGGCAAGAACTGAACCAATGACAACCACTTCCCAGCCTATCCCAAACGATCCTAGGCTGAATATGCAACCCATGCATTCTCATGTAAATGTTTTCATTCAGTGGGTCTCCTGAACACATTTAAACTAGTGAAAAGTCAACCCCAGAGGTCCAACACTCTACAAAGATGTCAGACTCAAGAGTTCCAAGGATCTACAGAGATGCCAGCTGCACCAGTCCAAGGATCTATGTAGATGTTAACCCCAAAGGTTTAAGAATCTATAAGTAGACAACACATTTTCTTGCAACTGTGTTAAAAGGAAAACATAACAATGAAACAAAAAATGATGTGTTTTTATTGATCTTTCTTTTGTTTATGTGTGTGGGTAGCCCATACAGGACATTTTAAACGTTTTTCACAAAAATGAGGAACAGCAGCATGCTTGTAACAAGTCATTGGTGAGAGCACAAACATTTCATAAGGCTTTAAGACAGGGATGGATAACATATGACCTACAGGTTATATGCGGCTGCTTGGCCTTTTTCACAGACCCCCATTTCCTTGCTTTAAGATAATACCTACTGCCACAGAACATGCAGGGAAATTGCAGGATCCATTGCAAACCTAGATTTATTTGTACTTCCCTGCTAATTGTAACAAACTTTCTTTTTTACTCTGCTGATTAATGTTTCTCCTTCCTGTACTAGAAATGTTGGGTGGCTTTTGGTTGATGGTCTAATTTTCAGTCTACAGATATCCAGGCTTTTCCTATTACCATCTCAAAGCCCCACATTCCAGGCTCCAAGATTATCAAGGTGTATATGGATTGCATAATCTGGTGTTTAGCACTGAATCACGGATCTTCTGGATTTGTCCAAGCCTGCTTTTCAAACACTTTCTGCTGAAAAGCACCCAGTCGAAAAGAATGGAAGCTGGGGTACATGTATACACTTAGTCTAAGTGCTTCAGAGACCTCTACACATATTGAGACTGTTTAGAAATCAGAATTTGGTACAAAAGAACATGGAATGCATTTATCATTTGCTCTCTTTGGTCTCCAAAACACTCACTTTCTCAATTAAAAGTAGGAACATGAGCTACCTGCAAAAGCACAGCTAATGTGAAATTATTTCATGCATTTGTTTGTAGCACTTACCTATCAGGTTCTTCCACTCAGGGTCCAGGTCTGCTTGATTGGCCAGACAGCCTTTCAAAACATTGCGGCAGTAGCTGTTACATGGCTTTATGTTCGACATACCCCGGCAATGTGCACAGTACATCAGCTTCATAATGGCCCGACTGCAATACTGGCTTAGTGGAACCTTGAAAAAGAGAGCTATTATTTCTTAAATGTCTAAAGAAGAAAAGTATACTTCACAATATAAATAATGAAACAGAACCCCGAGAAATGACAGAGAAATGGTAGCTGTCCATTTGATTGAGACCATTAATAGGAGACATAATTTTTTAAAATCTTAAATCCATGGGGCTAGCCAAATTTATTTCAAATTGATGTCTGATTTATTTAACAAAATTTATGTCTGATTTAGCAAAAATAAATCAAATCAAATCAAACTCCACCAATATTTTCAAATTCTGAAAAGTGGATTTTGACTAAAAATAATCTCAGACAGCTAAAAATGTAAATGACTACTTAGCATTCCCTATTCCTCTAGGTGTGTCTCTTGACTGGGCCTAGTCAGCTATGAAAAATCAAATGTCAAAAATGATCAGCTATCAAGTGTTGTTAAGAATACTATCAACAGTTCACAATTCCACATATCATAGCATGTCACCTATCAAACTTTGACATATATAAAAACAAAATCTGAAATAATTGACTCAAGTATCAAATAATATCAAACGTCAAATAATGACATAATCACTTCAAACTATACTTTGTGCGTCCCGAAATACAAGGCAGCTTCTTGCCTGCTTTTGACTTTTGGTCCCTCAGTACCTACATACAACAGGCAGCTTCAGAAGTTCATAAATTTCACTCCCATTTGCACAGTGCCTTAGATCAAAGAAGTGAGGCTGATTCATACATGGAACCAGTACTTCATTAGTACACACCATGGTCTGGTTTGATAGTCAACATAAAAACATGGTTTGTCAATTCAAACATAATATGAAACTATAGCTAAGCCACAGCTTGGTATGATGCCTTATTTCAGCCATCAGACAAACACATGAAGACACCTTTAATGAAAATGAATATAGGGAGTAAATTCCTGCTTATCTGGAGCTCCCTGAGTTCTTAATGACAGCTAAGGATATTCAATTAACCTACCAGTCTGTCAATACACTGCCAGGCATCTTTGTTGCCTTTCTCCCAACATCCTGTCACTCAGCTGTGAGCAATGAACAGAATCCATGTAGGCAGAAGCATTTGCCTTCTATTTGTACAGTTGCTTCTTTTTAAACATTGAATAAACATGATACCTCACTGATAATCTTAAGTGGAACAGGTATTGAACCATTTTGGAACTCATACTTTATTCTGTGAAAAGTGTGTACTATGTTTCAGATCACAAACTTTATATCCTAAATAGCCTTCTCACCCATATTTAAATCTAAAAGACAGATACACTTCTCAGAACAGTTGGCAGTGGGAACAAAGCTTAATATTGTGCCACCTGAGCAGGTGATAACCAGAAAATAACTTCTGGTCATGGTGGATAGCTCAGTAAGAAACTCAACTCGGTAAACAACAGCCGTGACAAGGTGAATTCCATGGTAGGGATTATTAGGAAACCAGTTTAAAATAGAAGTGTCAATACTGTAACACCTTTATAAATCTATAGCCTGGCAACATCAGGAATACTACATATAGTTCTGGCCACTCATCTCAGAAATGGTATTACAGAATTGCAAAAGTGTAGAGAAAGGGCAATCAATATGAGCAAGTGCCTAGGTATCCTCCCTACAAGGGAAAAGCAATGGGGGGGGGGGGGCGGGTGGAATAAAAGTTTGTAACATTATGCATGGTATAAAGAAAGTCAATAAAGGGACAGTGTTCCTGTCTTCAACTCCAGAACCTGGGGACATCCAATGAACCTGACTGGCAGGCAGTTTAGTACATAAACAGAACACCTTGGGCAGAAACAAGGGAGAAGCTGGGTGATGGCTCCTAACTGGGTGATGGCTCCTAAACCAGATGGCTTTAAACAGGCAAATTAGAAGGTAGGTTTGTTATGATGGATACCCTGGCAGTACAATGGCATCAGGGGCGAAGTGAGCAGTTTTGTGGGCATTCACACGACAGTTCCCATAGCCATGGCCCAAAGGAGAGTTCGAAAATGCAGGCAGGTGAGCTGATCTGTATCAATAAAGCAGTTCCAGCAGTTTGCATTTTACGAGGCGCAGGCATCTCACAAGGCTACTGGATGTTTCAGGACCAGGTGGGATCTACACTAAGCATTTCTGCTGCCATTGTAATGCCTGATTCACTGGTGTGCCACATGCCACTAACCCCAAGCAGACCTCCGTGCGCTGTTTCTGCCATTATAGTTTGTATTTCTTCAGAGCAGTTAAATCATAACTATTTTTTATGTTATAGTTTGTGCTAAACTCCTAGTACTGCTTTTGTGGGGAGGAATCATTTCAGTGAGCTGGTGGGGAGAATTTATTTTGCTTTGACAAGCCAGCGGCAGCTCTGATAAAGAGAGAAGCCTGATCAGCCTTTGGTTGCTTCCCCAACCCTCTTGCGCGCACCCCCCCCCCCCCCCCAGCTTCTCTCTCTTTCTCTCTCGGACTTGCCCAGTGAACTGGAGGGTAAATGCAATGCTGCTCCCCACCGCCCTCTGCCCTCCTTTGCAATGATGATGATGATGATGATGCAATGTTTTTTCAAGGCTTCCCCTGGCCTCTTGCTGCAATTGTATGTCTACTCAGAGATAAATTCATTGAGTTCAATGGGGCTTACTCTTTGGAAAGTCTGCATGGGAGAGGGGCTGCACTTGCTTTTCATACTGTGTATAGCTAATCGATCTGAAAAAAACAAAAACAAATGGGTCTTAAAGGGTCATTTCCCTGTACACACCAATGTTCTTACTCTTCCTACACTGCTGCTGGGGAAGTCATTCTCTCCAGCTCACTGCTTCTGTGAAGACGGCAGCTAAGCTTGGAAGGAAGAGAGAAGCCTGATGGGAATGGCAGATGATGTCAGTGCTCCTGCTGCTCAGAAGAGCATCCCTGCAAGCTCTGGCTTGCGTACTCCATTGAATAGGAGCAGTGGGGAAGGGTCTTGTCTTCTAGCTTTCCCTGTTAGACCCTGTGGCTAACAGAGAGAAGTGCAAAGACAGCACTCGTGTGTGCATGTGGTTCTAGGGATCCAGATGTTCAGTGCCCCTGCCTACTTGGGATGGGGCATATACGAGTCTAATGCTTGCAATTACATGTATTTAAAACTTTCCGGTCTCCTTTGGTTATCACTGGGTGGCGCTTTGGTCCTACAGTAAAGAGGAAAGCAAGAAAGGAGTTTCAAGAACAAAAACATCAATCAGTCAAACAAAAACAACAAAGACACGCAAAGACATGCTCGCCTGCTCGCTTGCTCCCTCTCTCTCACCCCCACTCCCATTCATTTTTATGTTAAAACATTGAGGCTCATGAAAACAGTTATTTAACATGCAAGGTTTTCATTTAACTACCTAGGTTGACTGAAGATTATTATGAAGCCAAGTGAGGATGAGAACCCAGAATACTGATACTTTAAAAAGGATAATTCATGGCAGAGGCAGACTGTTCCACTGGAAAGATTGTTTACAAGGCACTAGAAGCTGCTACTTCTTTTCTGCCAACTAGTTTTCATGAGCTAGGATTGCATGAAGCTTGCCCTAGCAGAGAAAAATACCTAATGGTAATTGTTAAATGTACTTTTTAATGGTTCATGATGAGCATACCTTGAGTATCAGAATTTCTCAAGAGGTAATGCCAGTGAAAAAAAAGATCCTTTTACAGGGATCCATTTTAACCTATCCCATTCCTCAAGGCATATGTGAGAGCACATAAAGGCAACAATCCCTTATTTCAACCTTCCCCAATATGGTGCTCTCCAGATTTTACAGCCTCCAACTCCCATCAACCTCTGTCAGCATGACCAATGGGAGCTGTAGTTGATAACATTAGAGGGGGACCAAGTAGGAAATGCTGCCTTGTTAATTTAAATCCACCTTTTCCATGGAACCTTCAGTTCAACCCCCTTATGCTCTACTGGAGGGCTGGGCAGAGGATAGATGTCCAAATGCTTGGGACATCAATTCTCAGAAGCCCTTACCAGCATGGCCAGTGGTCAGGAATGCTGAGAGTTGAGATCCAAAACATCTGAAGATCTGCTTTCTGCCCATCCTTGGTCTACTGTAGCTCAGCCTGAATGAAATCTAAGCACATGGAGCTGAAATGACCACACACTGTTGCCCTGCTTACTGGATCTCTCCTTCTCCATTCTTTGTTCCTTCCTGTACATCAATTTTAGTGTGAAAGCTTCTTGGGGGAGGGACCTATGGTCTTATTTATTTATTTATTCATTCAATTTATATCCTGCCTTTTTCCTACAAAGGGCTCAAGGCAGCTAACATCATTCTCCTCCTCCATCTTATCCCCACAACAACCCTGTGAGGTAGGTTGGGCTGAGAGTCTGTGACTGGCCCAAAGTCACCCAGTTGGCTCCATGGCTGAGCGGGGACTAGAACCCGGATCGTCTGAGTCCCAGTCCCATGCTCTTAACCACTGCACCACACTGGCTCTTACAGTCTTGTACTCTCCAACATATCATGCCCATGATGGTAATGCTATATAAATAATAGTAACACTGTAATTCATAATTAGGTTTGTTGATTTTAATGTATCACACCAGAACCATATAAAGCCTTTATGAAAATGGACAAGGCAACTTTAGTCACTCTATAGTTAGTTGAGTAGAATTCGGTAGTCAAGACCCAAAGCAATTAGTATTGTTAAAAGATGGGTGAGTAATTCACCTTTTCCTTAGCCAGTATACTGTTTCTCCACTGCCAGGAAAAGGGCAAAAAGCACCCTCAGGTTGATACAGTACAGCCTGCTCATAGAGGTATTAAAAACATACAGCCATAAAGAAATACTGGATGGTGAAACTGGTTTTGTGTGTATAAAACTGGTAGCAAGAAACCACTTGCCTCCTTTTAGTTTGCACGACAGAATTCTTGCGCTGTTCCTTTCTCTTGTGCCTCTCAAATCCTTATTTCTGGTTTAGTTTGGGTGTGCTTGGTTGGTGTGTTTAAAACTGTCATGTTAACATTCTTTAGACACAGGTTCGCTCCTGAGAGTAATTCCTGTGAAA